GGGGGGAGAAAAAAAAAGGAGGAAAAAAAAAGACGAAGAAAAAAAGGAAACCAGAAAAGGCACAAGCGCAGCTCCCCGCCGCCGCCGCGCTGCTGCGGGAGCGGTTGATTTGCTGCGGGCTCGGCAGATTGGCTCCCGGGTTTCCATGGCGGGGCTGCCACTCACTGTCAGCCGCTGCCAATCACGGCGGAATGCCCTGCACCGCCCCGTTCTCCGCCCCGCTCCCCGCCCCGCTCCCCGCGGCGCCCCGGCCGCTCCCCGGGGACCGCAACCKCGCCGCGCTGCCCCACCGACCCAGGCAGCTCAGGGCCGCCCTGCCGCCCCGGGGAAGGCAGGATGGAGGGCGGGAAGGGGCCTCCAGCTGCAGGTTGCTGTCGGCAGGTTGGAGGGAGTGGTCCCAGAGAAAGGAAGGCCGGGACCCCCACACCCTCCCCCGGTATAGCTGCGGGGTCCGTCCCGGAGGTGCTCGCATAGAGCTCCGCGCACCCGCGGGAGGAGAGGGGGATAAAACAAAGCTGAGAAATCAGATAAAAAAAACTGTCTGCATAACAGTGACAGTGATGCTCGGAGTGTCACTGACAATGGATGTAAAGGGAGGACCCCAGGAACAGCCGAGATTTAGGGAAAAGCTCTCTCCTTTTCCCTGTAGGTGACTTCCCATCTCTGTTAAGACAAGGAATTATCTGCAAAGAGCCCAGCGTCCTTCCCCGTTCAACCGAAGCTTTATTTATTTATTTTTTTCTATTTTTTTTTTTTAACATTTAAACCTTATTGTTTTCGGCTGAATGGTCCTGAATAGACGTCGAGAATAGTCGCGAGGAGTGAGAAGTCATTTGTAGGTCAGGAAAGCGACTTAAAGCAGATTTCGGGAATCTTTTGAAATATTGATCACCTCGTAGTGATCATTCCCCGCATGTTTCCCCCTCCCGCTCCCTCGGTGCCCCGAGTGAGCGACCACGGGGCTGGGTGCAAGGTGATCCCCGGCCGCCTCTTCGGAGGAGCGGGACCAGCTCCAGCAGACTTGTGATGGGGAYGAAACCACTTTCTGAGCTGCGAGGATACGATTTATTTTCTGTAGAGAACGGGATGATAATCAAGAAGCCACTCTTTATTCTACATATAGCTGCTCAGTGGCAATTTTCTTCTCGGGAACATTAGGGATCATGCTCGGAAAGGCAGCATATATTTTGAATTAAGCTCCATATGTTCTCTCCTCTGCTCTTTGCAATGTTTTTTTTTTTTTTTTTTTTTTTTTTTTTTTTTTTTTTTTTTTTTTTTTTTTTTTTTTTTTTTTTTTGTAGAATGCTTGTCAAAAAAAATCCCTTCTTAATTTGATATCTTATTATTATCTCTTTCCCCCCTATTCTTTTTTTCCCTAATGTTTTTGTTTTCCTTTCTTCCCTTCTTTAGGAAACCTTTTGCTAGTTGCCTGCAGACCGAAATTAAACAGATTTACATTTTCTCCAATCATTTCTCTGCAGAAATGGAGCTGGACTGAGGCTCGCCGTCTTTTCTTTAGTATCAAGTACAATTTGTCTTTTGCTTGTGAAGATTTGGTAAATCAGAAGGCAGATAGATAGCGCAGATGGTCGGAGGTGTCGGGTCAGATTATGGTACGCCTCAGTACAGTGCTAAGCTCATTCTGACGGAAAACCCTGATATTATTTTCACAGATCTACACAGTTCACTTGAAAAAAACCCTTCGAGCCATTTACATCATTTATGTGAGGCTCACAGCTAGCGGGATGGAAAAGCTTTCAATACTGCTCATTTTCATAAAACCCGACAGAGCTGGGGAGACATAAAAGCGCACACAAAACTCACGAGTTCAGAGACACTCCATAGAAACTTAAAAAAATAAAAGGGGAGACTTTTCGGCTTCACCTTCACCCAGGTTTGATTTGCTTGCTTAGGGGAAAAAAATTAAAAAGGAAGAAAAAATCAGAGAAGAGGAGAATATAATCTGTAAATATTGCTGAGAGCCCTCTTCCAGGCTCCCATCCCACCCCTATCCTCCCCGTTAGGTAAAAATAGCAATTTGACAAAGTCAACGAAAGATCCCAGATAACCTTTTCGGGCAGGAATTTAAAAAGCCTTCAGACCTCCTCGGTATGAGCATCGSGCTTCCGCAGCGAGAGGGTGAGAAGGCGGCGACCTCGGCGGCTCCGGGCGCGTCCCCGCGGGCAGGAGCTTCCCCGCCGCCCCCAACCCGCCCCGCTGAGCTCCCGGCAGYGTCCCGGGACGGGGCTGATGGAGAAAAACCTCTGCTGGGAGAGACGTGGAAGGGTGGAAAGGATTATGTGTTAATGGATAGCTAATTTAGAACTACCAGATGATTATGGTGATGATGAAGATGATTGATAATATTACTGAAGGGGTCTCTTTTCGGTTTTTTTTTGGGTTTTTTTTTTTTGCGTTTTTTTAAAGCATGCACATGATCTGGCGATGGAGTWACTGGGCTGCAGCCTAATGACCATGAACAGAGCGAGACAGGCTCCATAATGAAAGCCAGAACTGTAGGCTAAAGAAATGAATCCTCATTAAGAGCAGCTCGCAGGGGCGAGGGGCTGTCCCCCAGGTCCCCGGCCTTTGTTCCCCAGAAACCGGCCCGGATGGGGCGATGCTGGCAGCACTGCTGGGAGGGGAGAGGAAGAGAAAGAAAAGACGACACCGAAATGGACCCAGAAACCTTGTGTTAACCATTTAAAGGGTGATCCAAGGCGAGAAGCCAGCCCAGTCTCAGTAGTTTGGCACCSTCTCCAGCTGAGAACGATGAGTTCTGTTTTTGGGAAATGGCACAGTCCGACACACAATCCGTGTGACTGGATTGTCCCTGTTGGGGGAACTTTCTTGAGACTCCTTCCTTTGTGCCACCAGGGCCGAGAAAGATCAGCCCCAAGGGGACCCCTCCATCCCCTTCCCAGCCCTCAGGGAATTTTATCTATGGCCGGGACCCCCCGGCAGGTTCCCCGTTGCTCCGCCGCTCCGCAAGAGCAGGACCGGGCCGGGCTTTTCCTCCGGAGCGCGACCCGCAGCGATTGCAGCGATCCCCAGGAGCGACCCCATCCCCACGGGATCCTGTGCCGCGTCCGGGGAAGCCGAGATTCCTGCGGTGCCCAAGCTCCTGGCTCAGCCCCCATATGTTATTAGAGCTGCCTGCGAGCCTGGGGGTGCACTTGGCCTTGCCTGCTTCGTGTCGGCCCTTTTATCCCATTTTCTTCTTTCCCCTTCCTATAATAGAAACACCACTCGTGACATTAATAGCCGGCAATGATAACTACTTCTATTTAGGTGACAGCTTGTTACAGGTAGCGTGAGGATTTAACTCCCCAGAAAAGAACCCATTGGGCAACAAGAAATAAAATTGTACATGAAAACTATTTATTCGTATTCAAAAATACGACCAGACATCCGCAGCATCTCGACGGCCTTGCGTGGACACGGTGGGCTCTGGCCTCAGGACAGGATATATTTCCCTCTCCTCAGAGCCTTAAAGCAAAAATATGCTGAGCAACATATCTGTACACCTTCGTATCAACATTTATCAGCTATCCTTCATCTTAGAATCTCTGTCGCTGGGGATTATTTATCTAGACGGAGTTTTCAAACGCAGCAGAGGTGCGAATACATTTTTAATGCACTTGATTTGCGTTGAGTAATGTTTTTAAAAATACCCTCAGGAAGGAGAAGTCCCACTTTAAAGTCTCGGTAGGATTGTCAGAGTGTTCATTAAGGGATGCTGACCCGGAGGGACTGAGCGYAGGCAGTCCCTCGGGCGGGTATCTTGGAAACCAGCCGGGATTTTCTGGCCTTGGGGACCTGGAYGGGTCTCGGCAGGACCCGGCCTGGTGCCGTGGAGCGCTGCGGGACGGGCAAGGCTGGAGTGGGGACCGGGAAGCGGGGCGGCTCCCTGTCCTCCCCCAGGCTGGCTCTTACCCCGCTCCCACGGAGCAGGCGGGGGATGCTCAGCCCGAGGACACTGCCCGCTGTCGCGGATAGAAAAGGTTACTGGAAATGTCAGTCCCCCTCGGGGAGCGGGGTTTTCGGGAGCGTTTCCCAACGAGCCATCCGGGAGCTTTGATGGAGGGAGGACCTGAAGTTCAGGATGTTGTGGTGGGGGATGCTCGGTAGGGAAACGCCCTGTGTTTCGATGTGTTTCACCTGCTTTCCTTAATATTTTTAAGAGCGTCTTAATTGTTGAAATAACAGCTATCAATCGTTCCATTTCTTCCTAAAAATGAAGTTACATTTAAAGCTCTAATCTGCTTAATATTAGAGAGAGTGGACCGATTGGATCCTCACTTAAGCTACTGATACCTGTTGAAAGCGCCGAAGAGTCCCTAAATTAATGCTGTTGGACAGGGAGAGATGTTCACCCACTTTCTACTCTCACGCCATATATTCATTAAATCTTTGTCCTTCGGTGTATTATTTAAGCTGTAAAACGAAGTAGCATGGCTGGTATATCTGATGTTAGAAAAAAGACACACTGAAAACTCAAAAGATCTAAAKTCTTTTGAGATTGGTAAGGAAAGACGTTCCTTGTACAGGGCCCTGGTCAGTGCCATGGCTCCAGACAGAAAGGATCTACTGTCCAAGATTCATCTCTCTTTTTTTCTAGGGTGTAGCTGTGAACCGGGGTTTAAAGTCTCAAATCCTTCGGGATTTGWTTGGCTGCTCCCTTTACCTGCAAGTACGCACACACCACCAAACCTCTTTCTACAATGAGATGCTCCT